TAACATAAGATTAGGTACAATATTCTGTTCGTTTTCATCAAACTTGTTTTTGAAATTATTTAAACTAGTAGCTTCTAGTATAAAAACAAGTCCGGAGACATTCTATAAAAAGCTTTTGATATTAAGTATAAAGCAGAGTTCGCTTTACTGACTACTTTTGCTGTTTGAGTAGACCAACTTAATGTTTGGTTGACCGTAACACCAAAATCATTATCTTCCCATACCGATTTCAGAGGACCTTCATCCCAAAAATATGTATATCGGAAGTATGAATATCGGTATTAGAAGATGTAAATTCAAAAAGTCAGAAAACTTAGCATGTTAAGAAGCAATATTGGTCTAAAAAATATTTATTATTGTCTTTATTCGTTTTTTGCGGCATTTTGTTGGTTAGTACTAATAATAGTTGGATCTTTATTAATATACTTTATTGTTAGTTCTTTGTTAAGTACGTAAGATTATAGATAAGAATAGACCCCAATCTCAAAGAAACTTCCGTATTCAACAAACAGCCAGGCCCCGATTCACGGTAGGAGAGCTCTTCAATATCGAACAACAAGAGCAATTATGACGAAGGTATATAGACACATACCCAGATTACTCTCTATGAATAAAAAATCCAAGAATATGAGGACGAAGATGTAAATTTTCGAAAGATTTCAAAAAGAAAATAAAGAAACTTAGCAGAATTGCATTCCTTTGCTGACAAAAGAGAGCTTCCTGACATTAAAATTCAAAATCCCCCTCTTAAACTTCTTATTGATACAAGATCAATTGAAATAGTAGAAATTCTTCTGTTTTTAAGGAATTCTTTAACGTCTCAGTTTTTGTGCGCAGGGCATCCATTCATTTGAAACCAAATTTCTTCTTCATCTTCTATTTCTGCAAGTCTGTGTAAAATCTCCTCTTGTAGCAAGTCTAAAAACTTTTTTGAATTTAAATATTTCTCATAGAAAAATGGTCCAATATTATTGTCTCTAAATATTCCTAACCAGACATTTATTTTTCGACGATATTGGGTATGGCTTTCAATATTATCTTCAGACTTTCTTGTCGACCAAATCCTATAATTTAAACATTGGTTCAATATTTAATGTAAATGTACATTAATCACTAAACAAAATATTTTTTAAAAATTGTCTGCTTGCATTAGCCCTCTCTAAAATTTCATAACAAAATTCCGCTCATCGCTTAGCATATCCTGATAGTTCTTGATGATATTAAAATTTATATGAACAGAATTTATTCCGTTATAAAATTTTTAAGGTTGTGGAATTATAAATATTAAACTGATCTGCAATGGTCCGAGAACTTATTCTAGGATTTTCTACAACTGTTTTTTATTTTGATAAAAAATTTATTATATTTTTGTAAGATTTTGGAGTACCCTTAATTCGTAAAACAATTTTAGCATTTGTTTTTAATGCAAATTTTAGTTCTCTACAAATAGTTTCTTATGACTTTTGATATAAAATAATTAGGGAAGAAGAAATTCAACAATTTAGAATTTTGCATTGAGTTTAATATGGCCCGTTTGACGACTCACCACCCTGTATATTTCAAAAGATATGTATTAACCCTAGATCGTATATTTGTGCTTACATTTTTCGATCTGACTAATAATTATTAATGATCAAAATTTAAAAAAAAAAGGAGAATATTTGCAATAGAGTGATTTGTTATATTTGTTCGTATAACTTTTTCTATTGTCTATACACTGTGTCCGTAAAGTATGGAACAAATTCTTTTTCAAGCTAAACACAGCATTTTAAGAAACAATCCTAAAACATGTCGATTTTTGATTTTAATTTACCATATTTTAAAATAATATTCTAATATACAGGGTGAATTACTTTCGAGTAATGACGTCACCCTCATTCTTGTTTTAATGGAATACCCCCATTTTGTCTCAATTTTCGGATTACACTAGCTGAGCTGATTCCAAAAATGTATCACATGTTGATTCAAATTGGTACAGCGTGGACAAAAATACAATAGTTTTAGGTAAAGAAATAATAATAAGACTTACTCACAATCAATTTAATTTAACAATCTGACGACCGGTTTCGCTTTCTATAATTTGCAAAGCATCTTCAGGTCGAGATACAAAGTTAAACTAGTGCTGCAATAAAATAAACCCAATTAGGGTGGTGTCTCATAAAGATATAAAGATAAAATAAACAAATAAATAAATTAGTTCATACAAATTATAGTAATTATGCCAATATTACATGTCTGTGGTTTTCAAAATGAATAATTTGAATATATAAAAGGTAGTAACAGACAAGGTAAGGCCCACAATTGGTATAAAGTAGCAATCTTTTGTTGTAATAAATTAATACATGAGCAAATAAATAAAACAAAACAAAACAAACATTACTTACATGCCGGTACTCTATTAATTGATGGTCCGTGGACCATGATGGAATTGACCATCAATTAATAGAGTACCGGCATGTAAGTAATGTTTGTTTTGTTTTGTTTTATTTATTTGCTCATTTATTAATTTATTACAACAAAAGATTGCTACTTTATACCAATTGTGGGCCTTACCTTGTCTGTTACTACCTTTTATATATTCAAATTATTCATTTTGAAAACCACAGACATGTAATATTGGCATAATTACTATAATTTGTATGAACTAATTTATTTATTTGTTTATTTTATCTTTATATCTTTATGAGACACCACCCTAATTGGGTTTATTTTATTGCAGCATTAGTTTAAATTTGTATCTCGACCTGAAGATGCTTTGCAAATTATAGAAAGCGAAACCGGTCGTCAGATTGTTAAATTAAATTGATTGTGAGTAAGTCTTATTATTATTTCTTTACCTATTTGATATGGACTCACACAAGCAACACATTCATGATTACAATAGTTTTGTGTGTGTTCCTAAAGTAACACGCTAGTTAAATTCACAATATTATCAAAAATACCTATTGTCTAGCGGACAGAATATGATAAAATACATGACTTTATAAATGTTCGAACTGCAGCCCTTTCTGTATTTAACGGTAACCCAAACGTTGTACAAATTCTTGTTGAACCTTGTTTATTGTGTCTTGAGAAATATTGTTTATTGCTGTTCGAATTCTCTGTTGTAATTTGTTTGTTGAATATTTGCTGGTTTCGTTTGATACACAACATTCTTCAGATGGCACCACATAAAATAATCCAAAGGATTGAAATCTGGTGACCTCGCTGGCCATTTAACAGGTCCACGTCTACCTATCTTCTAACATCTACAGCATAATGTGGAGGTGCACCATTCTGTTGCAACGATAAACTTTGATAAATATGATAGAATATGATAAATATAGAAAGACCTATAACGCGTTCAACAGTAAGATTGAACAGAAATTTCGAGAAACTGGTAACGTTAAAAATGCACGGAAATCAGTTCGTCCCTTTGCAAATGCTGATACAGCATTAGATGTTTTACTTAGTTTTGAAGAAGATGCGCACACTTCTGTGCGTAAAGTTAGTCGCGATATCGGTGTTAGTAAAACAACGGTACACAAACTATTAAAAGTTGAAAAATGGCATCCACATAAAATCAAACTTGTGCAGGAATTAAACGAAGATGATCCAGATAGAAGAATGCAACTGCCACCGAGATCCTCTCTTCGTACAAAACATAATTTTTTCTGATGAGGCCGCTTTCACGTTAAATGGCGAGGTTAACCGTCAGAATTGTAGATACTGGGCGAAAGAAAACGCCCACTGGATGCGTGAGCATTAAACACAATACTCGCAAAAGCTAATTGTATGGGCTGCAATTGTAAGAAATCGAATCATCGGACCCTACTTTATCGAAGGTCATTTAAACAGAGCAATGTACCTTGAGTTTGTAAGGGGATATCTCGTACCTACTTTTCGTAATTTGTTTCTCAGCAGACGTAATTCTGGAGGTTTTCATGAAAGTTAATGGTTGCAATAGGATGGTGCACCTTCACATTATTCTGTAGATGTTAGAAGGTACCTAGATGAAATTTTTCCGAACAGGTGGATTGGTAGATGTGGACCTATTGAATGACCAGCGAGGTCAATAGATTTCAATCCTTTGGATTATTATATGTGGGACAATCTGAAGAATGTTGTGTATAAAATAACACCAGCAAATATTTAATAATTACAACAGAGAATTCGGACAGCGATAAATAATATTTCTTAAGACAATAAACAAGGTTCAACAAGAATTTGTACAACGTTTGGGTTACTGTAAAATACAGCAAGGGCTGCAGTTCGAACATTTATTAAGTCATGTTCATTCATCATATTCTGTCCGCTAGACAAGTATTTTTGATAATATTGTGAATTTAACTAGCGCGTTACTTTATAAACACACACAAAACTATTGTATTTTTGTCCACCCTGTACCAATTTGAATCAACATGTGATACATTTTTGGAATCAGCTCAGCTAGTCTAATCTGAAAATAGAGAAAAAATGGGGGTGTTCCATTTAAAAAAAAATAACGGTGACATCATCACTCGAAAGTAATTCACCCTGTATATTAGAATATTATTTTAAAATACTCTTTCCTGTTACCTGTTTCAGGATTATTTCTCAAAATGTACTGTTTAGCTAAAATAGAATTTGTTCCATACTTTACGGACACAGTGTATATTATTATCATATATATGACAATAGCTTCTTTCAAAAACGTTAAGAAACACCCCAAAACTACATGCACAACGCATCTAAAAGCAATCAACCAAATAGCAGCATTTCGATTTCCTTTTGCAACTAGTCGTATTCCGCAGTCTTTAACCGCAACCATTTTTGCAAATTACTCTAAAATTACGAAGTAAATGAATCAAAACAGTGTTGAAACTTTGTTAAATGTCACGAGCTATGTAGATTGTTTCATCAAGCAGTAAATTAGCCAGTCAAACAGTATGCATTGAATTGTTACCAACAGATTTTGATTACACATAGTGTTTACTCGTTAACAAATACACAATGAGGCTAGTTCTGTTTGAGGGCGCTTTTTAAAAATCGCAACTCAAATTATAGGATTGTTTTGGTTTTACTAAATCAAAAGCTAAAAGTAAAATTGTAAAAAAAAAGTAAAAGCAAATTTAAATAATTGAATGAGTAAGGCTTAGGCTTTAGGTATAAAGATATATTCCGTTAAAATAACTGCATCGTACGGTATTAAGTAGTTATTAATAATGAGAGCACAAAACCTAACCAAATTTGCATTCATCGAGGGAGAGTGAGACCAGATGATACAATTTTTTCAAAATTATTCACATATGCTGTCAAGAGGATGTTTTCAAGAAACTTAATTAGAAGCAAGAAGATTTAAATATTCTTCTTTTTTTTCTTCTTTTTATATATACGTGATTCTATCTGTTTTTCAAAGTGCCTCTATTAAGTTGTTGTTTCGTCGTTTTCGTGGTCTTCCTATTGCGAAACCGTTTCTTGTTGTCTTTACTACTTTATTTATTGTCTATTTCTTTGTTTACTTTTCTATTTCTTACCCAGTTCTTGATATACTTCACATTGCATATATGTCGTATATCTGTTCTTCTAGCTCTGTCCCATAGTGTCTTGCCATCAATTTTTCTAAGTGTTTTCATCTCTGTTGTTTCTAACGTCCTTTTTGTCCCATTGCGGCATATGTCATTATTGGTCTGATGACTGTTTTGTAAATTCTGCCTTTCGTTTCTTTCCTGATATTTTTATTTCTTCATATTGTTTCATTTAGGCAGCCTGCGGCTCTGTTTGCTCTATTCACTTGATGTGCCACTTCAGTTTCGAGCTTTCCGTAGCTAGATAATGTGATGCCTAGGTATTTAAACTCCATCACTTGTTCTTTTATCTGACCTTAAATTTACATCTTATTAATCAATTAATCAATCAATCAATATTCTTTATTTCATCTGACTTTTACAAGTATTGAAATGCGTCAAAATACAATCTAAAAAACTATAGGTACATAGGTAGTAAAAAAAAAGTAAAAATTATAAGCACAATCATAAAACATAAAATATACACAAAAACATACAAATTGTTAAAAAGATGCCTGCAAGTATTCCTCTAACGAATAGAAAGTGTTTGCCAGAAGTAATTTCTTAACTGTTCTTTTAAATATATAAATATTTAGCTCTTTAACATAATTAGGTAATTTATTATACAAACTAACGCATGTTGGGTAAGGACCCTTGCTCACAGCAGTCAAGTGACGAGCAGGGCTCACCAAATCATTTCTGTAACGAAAATTATAGCCACTCATTAAGGAAACATTTCTGCAAATAAAATTACATCTATGTGACTTTACATATACAACACAACTGAAAATATACAGCGAAATTACAGTTAAAATATTTAATTGTTTAAAAATTGGTCTACAGGAATCCAAGCGCCTTCTAAACGTCATTGTACGAATAATTTTTTTTTTTTTTGAAGAACAAGCACCTCATTAATACGCGAGCAATTTCCCCAACAAACTAAGCGATATTGCAAAATTGACTGTACATGAGCAAAATAGTAAAGTTTCAAGATTTCTAGGGAGACAAAATTCCTAAGTTGCCATAGAACATAACAGTGTACAGACAATCTTCCCACTACATAATCAACGTGAGAACTCCAAGACAAATTAGAATCCAGATAAACACCTAACAACTTGGTGGAGTGGCTATTTACCACAGACCCATTGTCAAGCCTTACTAATGGACTTATCTTCATAGTAGAAGGTGAAAATGTTACCATATTGGTCTTTGATCCATTTAAGATTAGGGCATTATTTAAACAGTAAAGACTCATACTTTTTACAAGACAGTTTGCTTTTTAAACTACATGAAAAAAATTATTGGAATTTAGTGCAACTGTGGTATCGTCAGCAAATTGAGTGACGTAACAGCCTGATTGCTGTTCCAAGTTTTCTCCTCGAACGCTTATTGCATCAGAAAAATTATTTAATGGATTCCGAACCAAACATGTTGAGCTATCCTTTATCAGTTGATTTAAATCGTTGACGAAAATCAAAAATAAAAGAGGGCCGATGATACTTCCCTGTGGAACTCCGGAGAGGACACTTTCTTCTGAACATATTATAGAACATATGAAGAACATATTATATTTCCATTCACATTAACCTTAATTTTTTGAAACCTTATCGATAAAAAGGTTTGGATCCACTTTAACGCAGTTCCTCTAACACCACTATCATAAAGTTTTTCCAGCAGTATTGGATGATTTACAGTTTCAAAAGCTCGTGCTAAGTTCGATAAGTTTCTTATCAAAGTTCGATAAAATATGATTGCACAGCGCTAGTAGTGCATCTTGCACACTTATACCTTCACGGAAACCAAATTGAGACTTTTGTATAATGTTGTGCCTTTTAATATATGAGAGGAGACGTGTATGAAATGCCTTCTCATATATTTTTGAAAACACAGATAAAAGTGATAGGCCTCGATAGTTATCAAATTTTGATTTGTCACCTTTTTTATGTATAGGCACAACTAGAGCAGTATTTAGAATTTGAGGAAAAATCCCTTCCTGAAATGAAAGGTTTACTAGAAATGTTAATTGTTTATATATGTTATGAGATACATGTAATAACATAGAATACGGGATCTCATCCAGTCCAGCAGAAGATTTTTTTGAGATATCTTTAATTATACTCTTTATTTCTTCATCACTAACAGGATAAAGGAAAACGGAGTGTATAGGCGAAGAAAGATTCTTAGGATTATAGTCAGGTGAAGTTTGACTAATTAAATTTTTTACGGAATTCGAAAAATGTTGATTAAAAGATTCAGCTATGTCATGAGGGTTATCCACAGAAATTCCCAAATTATTTTTAAAATTACTTGGGTATTTTGAAGAGTTTCGATTTTTACCTCCGACAGTGTTTCGATTTATGATGCGCCAAGCCTCAGCCGTACTATTCTGTGCATTTATCATTTTATTATTAAAATAAGTTTGCTTGGCTAATTTAACTTTGTATTCATGATTTTTTTTTTTAGAATGTTATACCGTATTCTGAGCTCATGACTTTCTGAATATTTTATAGATCTGAAAATGTCTCTAATAAAATCTCCCTCATTTATTAAATTAGAAGTCAACCATCCCTTGTTTTTAGACTGTTTAGAAAATCGTCTAGTATTCACCGTTTGCAAAGGAAATGCTTTATCGAATAGTTCCAAAATTTTTTCATAAAATATGCAAAACTTGTTATCCGAAGATAGATCTGAGTTTAGAAAGCACCAATATTTCCTAGAGAGCAATTGATTAAAATAATAAATATTAAGAGTGCTATTAAAATCACGTTTATAAACAATATTATCCACCAAAGAAGAAGCATTCAAGTTGTATTCAACTTTCTGTAAAAAGTGATCACTCACATCGGTATAAACAACAGAACAAGATAAAAACTTAATATCTACATTGGAGAAAATATTATCAATCACAGTTTTAGAGTCATTATGTATTCTAGTGTATTCAAAAATACATTGATTTAAACCAAAAGAGGTAAAAATATTTTTTAATCTTAATGCATCTATATTGTGTACCTTTGGATCAAAATTTATATTGAAGTCACCACAGATGAAAATAATATTATTTTTGTTTAATATTTCTGATAACATTTCGTCCATATTATTTATGAACGTTTGTGTATTAAATTTGCTGTTGTTACTATGCGTGGTAATTTTGAGGTAAATGGTAAAATTACAGGAGTTTTAAAATTTTTTTTCTCTACACATTAGGTATATCTGAGACCGTTGTAAAATGCTTTAAAAAAAATCAGAAGACGATTTCGCATTGGCTGATATACGAGAAAAGCATATTCCGAAGAATAAGGTGCAAGATGATGTTAAAGTGAATGTAACCCACCTCCTATCTATCTCACTCAAAAAGCTTTTATTGCTTAAAGTTTTGGACCTTAAATCTCACCATTTCTGAAGCTACAGATTGTATTATGTGGGACGAGTTTGTTTCTGGTAAAACTGGTAAAGAAATATCGTCAGCCTTATTGAAATGGGCAGGAGAAGTTGTAAAAAACTCTAATACAAGATACCTTGATAATTTGATTAGAGAACTGTCCGAGTCTAAACAGAAATATTATCATGGCAGTTAATTACTTTTCTCTTAGGAGTGTTTGTCCTTCTTTAAAAACAATCATTCATAAGATTTTACTTAAAGGTCATACTCATATGGAAGCAGACCATGTTCATGGTCTTATTAAACGTACTCTAAAGAAGCAACCGGCATTAAGTATTGTTACACCGTGGGATTGGCAGCAGATTTTCTAAAAAACTGTTTATTACAGGATAAACAACAGTTTGAAGCTTGTAAATAGTAGAGGGTGGCTTTATTTTTTACGCAATGTTTACACATAAATCTATAATGACGGTTACAGCATAGATGGGACAGCGAAAAAGCAATCATAAATGCCTGAATATTCATTTACAAAAACACATTAAATGCTGATGTACCACATATGGTATATTTCCTATTTTATATTAAAGGTAATGAAGCGAGAGAAAAAGTGGTGTAAAAATGACAGATGATTTTATGTTAAAACATATCTACTTTATAATGAAAATCGACAAACCTCAGCATTTTTACAAAATGTAATTGCTTTTGAAAAATATGAGTGTGGACTCTTTTTAGTGGCAGTTTTCATAAAACCCCGTGTAATAAATTCCTAATATCATTTGATATATGAGAAATTTTTATTGTTTTTCAATCTAGTCTTAAAAACAGTTTAATTTATAATATACTTACATCGAACATTAAGGAAATACCCGATGCTGGAGAATCTGCCTAAACGATGTTTGGCAATACATTTATACCAGCCGCTGTGTTCCCTTCTAATTTCTGTAAAGTTTAACATTCCATCAGAAGTTTGTTGGACTGGTGGAGCTCCATCGTCCTTTTGCCATATTGGTAATGCTTTTGGATTTGCGTCGACGTCGCATTTTAAGGACACTGGCATTCCTTCTCGAATTGGAAAGCCGAATCCTGGTTCACGGGATATCGCAAAGGAGGGAGTATCTGAAAAAACAAATTATTATTTTACTAAAAACTTGGTATATGTGGGTAGGTAAAAACATCAAAAAACAGACGCTTAAATATTAATAAATTGGTAATTGTAATATTACGATTTTTTAAAATATCAACTGCAAATGAAAGCAGAGCTTTGGTATTCCCAAAAAATTATTATACATAATAATTTCTTACATTTTACAATAGAGAAATAAAAGCACAAACTTATTTAGATTATATTTTTATTGTAATTATTTGACATTATTCATACAAAAAACTAAAATAATAAAATTTTAAAATAATAATTATGACAATACTAATGTAATGGAAAAAATCAGGATATTTTTATTCAATTTTAATATAGGTATGTAATGGAATAGTATTTTAATCAATTTCAATTTGAAAGTCCAGCATTCCATTGTCACCATCAATAACTTCAATCACTATCTTCAATTTCTTTATTAGATGATACATTACGATAAAAGGTTTTACAATCATTTAGAATTAAATGAAGAAATGATGCGATATCCGCTTTTCAATCGATATTGGTTTTTTTCTGGCCACAGACTTTTCAATAAAGATGAAATGGAAGGGGGCCTGCCAACTCCTCGATTTTGCACCTTTATTTCAACAAATTCGTTATTGTAGTTGTTACTGACGTAAATAGACATTGGTGTATTTTTAATAATGAGGATTTGTTTAAATTTTAACCAGTTTATCTTGGTGTTTGTTGTGTCTTTTTTTTCTGCTGACAATAGTTTTTTCAAAACCACTTGTAGACTTAAAGTCAACAGAATCTATTTTTAATACGTTTATAATATTTCGTATAATATTTCTAATAACAAAAAGAGAAATCAAACGATTTCTACCTGGCAAAATCGAATTCAAATTTTGACCACCGTGCTTTCCAAAACTTGCAAAGCAAACAGCTTGAAAAATAAATCGATAAAAGAATCTAAGATTGCATTCCACATGTCGTTTATCATGGTCAAAATTCGTAGTGAATTTATTTGTGGTACTTCAAACGGAGTAAAGAAATAAAATATAAAGACGATACAATTCAATACAGAGTGGCGGCAGCCGCTTATACGTATTTCTACCTCTTTTGATCTCGTCAAGTAATATTTTCTACTGAATAATCTTTTGGTAGTATCCTCACCTCTATGACGTGTAACTTTAGATTCCTTTACAGTAGTCCCAATCATTACGTTTTGAGAGTTGTAATCGCCTAGCTCCCAAAATTTATTAAATATAATTTTTCTTTCTTCAACATTTACTTGCTCATGATATTTGTTGTTACAGTTAGATATATAATCTCTGAATAACTTTGAATAAACCTTAACACCTTTAATATTCACATATGATTTATTAAGATTATTTCTTTTTTTGTGTCCTTCCTGCTCAAATTCCCATATTTTCTCTTCCTAACCTTTTTGGGCCTACCCTTATAAGGAACTTCTACTGAACTATCAGAAGAATATTCAGTAGTTTAAAAAATATTTTGTCTTTCTGTTAATGCAACATTAGCATCAGGAGCAGATGGCATGATAACTTGTTCGTCAGGAAGTTGAGGTTCTAAATTTTCATTTTCAGTACTAGGAAAATTTCAGTACTAGGATTACATTTTCATCATTATTAGTCTCAGGGATCATATTGCTATCATTATTGTATGTTGTATTAAATATTATCACATCTTCATCACTATAAATAACTGGAATGACTAAATTTTCATCATAGTTATTACCAGGAACATTTTCAAGGTCAGTCACAATGTTTTGACAACAGAAAAAGTTATCCCAAAAATGTTACAACACGTTCCTCCTTGTTCTGATCGTTTCGTATTTTCTACAGGTTGGATGACTTCTAATAGACTTTCAGAATGTTTGGCACATATTATTATACATACCAACTGCTCTTCTGCGAAAATTATACGATAGACGATATTAATTATATTGGACAATCATGAAAGCCATTATGCAGTTGATCTTTTAAATAAAGCAAAAGATAATGTCATAGTATTAGTGACCTTATCACCCCACTGCAGTTATTGGCTGCAGCCTTTAGATATTTTCTGCTTTGGACCGTTTAAATCATATTACAATAGAGCATCTGACAAATGGATGATTAATCGCCCAGCATTGGTAAAGCATTACCTTTAGCCTTTACCCCAACCAATATTTTAAAAGGTTTCCAGAAAAACTGGAATTTGTCCTCTGAATTCCAACATTTTTACAGACCAAGATTTCAAGATGTTTTACGTCACAGATCAACTGTCTGAAGTTGCAACTTTACCAAATCCAGAACCTTAAAATACTGTATCAAGCGCAGCAAACACTCCGCCCAAGTCGTCCACTGAAGTTCACATTGTTCCCATAGAAAAAATATCAGTTGATTCAAATAAAATTAATACTGCCTATTTTGTACCTTCTGATGTACTTCCAGTAGCTGGACCTTAAGTCATTAGGTTTTATCTAAAAGCACCTTCTAGAAAAAATACCACCAAGAGAAA